ATATTTAGTTTGACACAACTGAATAAGCTGAAATCTAAAAATTAACCAATGAAAAAATTAATTTAGGACAGAAATACAGTAGGTTAAAGTCAGGCCAGAGAATCTGCTGTTTTGCAGAGTTTTTTGTTTTTTTTCCTTGAGAGATCAACAATAATACACTTGCTTTTCACTCCTCATTACACACAGCCTTATTCTCCTCACCCAGACAGAAAACGTCTTCACTTCTAACCTCAGGAAAATCACACTGTTTCTCTAACACGACATGTCTCTGCAGGAGTCTGTAAATCCACACACACACACACACACACACACACACACACACACACACAACCGCTGCTGGATTTCATTCATTATAGTCTCCACAATCTGGAAGAAAAATGGAGACAGTCAAGGAAAATATTTTTAGGCAGCATCTTTGGGCCTCAGTCCGTTTCAGGTAGTAGCACTGTCTGAATCCCAGAGATGTGTCATCAACAGGATTAGTCATCTGGAAGTCTGAGCAAGGATCCGACTGAGGCAATAAAAAGCAGTGCTGAAATACAGCTGTGCACAAAATAGTCTTCAAACCAACGGGGGCCAACTGTTCCTCCTGCGATACCAAAAACTATTACTTAGTGACTGCGTTTTAACACTTTTGTTCAACTGATGATGTAACTGCATGCAAGCTAACCGACTTTCAGACCAAACATTTGAATTTTAATGGTGTGAATCTTAAGTCACAACAAGAGGAAAGTTGGGGAAAATAGGTGGGGGAGAAAAGCTGTCGATTTGATTTGCTGGACAGATAGCATGTACACAGCTAACATAGCTGCGTGTAAAATGGCTAAAGATTTATCCAACATAAAGTAAAATCAGGATTAGAACCATATAATGCTAAGTAAATGTCTTCTTAAAACACCATCTTAAAAACATTTCTCAATTCTAGCAAAAACACATAACATGTACCAATGTAGCTAAAGAGATAGCGCCAAGTTAGCTTTTTAAAAACTCTAGTTTAAAGTTTGTTTGCCAAAAATGATTCAAGGTTAACCAACATTCTGATACAAAAACATAAACATTAAGGTCTTTAAACCTTTACACAAAGATGATCTAAAAGGCAACAAGAAGCTAAACTTGTCCCAAAATATACTGAAAGTTAGCTGTGAAACAGGCTATCTTGTCCAAATATGGACTAGAGCTAGCTAAAAAAAAATAGCCTGACTTCAAGCCAAAGACATTTGTACCAGAAACAAACATTAAAGGTAGACATTTGACTTAAATTTGTGGCCCATAAAAATCTGTCTCGCTGCCAGTTTTGGGGTCTAAGAGCCAGTTATGGATTTTCACCTTCTAGGTCATGGATTTAGAGCAGGTCACCGATGAAAATCCATTTGTCCCAGTGCAGCCCCAACAACAAAAGCATCCCATAAAAACTGACGGCACTCTCCTCTGAATGTTTATCCACGAACGCTAAAAGTCGTATCAAAATGAAAGCGAAAACTCTTGAGTTTTGACCCAAGCAGTAAATGGAGGCGACGAGGTCAGAGGAGCCGAGCAGAGAGAAAGTTATTTCTGTAAAGTCAACCACTGGGAGAACAAATAATTCATTACCCAGAAGACCTTTACGTTGTTTGGCTCCGTCTCCTCCTTCAGAACGTATTTAACACCTCAGTGCTCAGGAACCTACGCCGTAGCTGTGGACTGATAATAATTCATTTTTCATCAGCCTAAAGTGAAGGCGTTTGATTCTATATTTTCTCTGTAATGCGTTATATATGCTGAGGCGAGTGGTTCTGATGGCGCCGGGAAAAACAGTAGGGAACAAATTAAATAACTCTGACTCAGAGCTGCTGCTGCTGCGGTCTGACAGCTGCTGACTGACAACACGTCCGTGTGTGACGACGGACGACGGCTGCAGCCGCAAAGGACTTCAAAGGTAATAAAAAAGATAAAAGTAAAGTAGGTTTTTTTATGTACTTTATTTATTCAAAATTAATGAGGTGATGGAAACGTCAAAGTCAGACTTGAGGACGGCTCGGCTGTACATGGACCGTATATTTGTCCCCCATTTTACCCTGTAAAAGTTTTGTAGAGTTTTTTTTTTTAAGGATTATTCTGGGTTTTTTTTATCATATGAAACCTGTCAATTTAAAATGTGTTTTGGGATGTTGGGATATTGATGTAGTTCAACAACCATCTTTAGAATTTACTGAGGCAGCGAGACTTTTCAGACGCCTCCGTAAAACTTTGGGCCATAAAAAAAGACCTTAAAATCGAACCTCTACACCTGGACTTCTTTAGGACCCAGTCCCTGTCTCCAGATCTGACTGCGTCCTGTCACCTGTCTCCAGGTCTGACTGCGTCCTGTCCTGACATGGACTGTCAGTCTTTCTCTGAGACTTTTTAAACTTCAGAACATGTGTCCTGTGAGTCAACCTTCTTCATTGACTCACTGTAGATTTAGATTTGATTTCTGCTCTGAATTTGGAATTTAAAACCATGGTCACATGACTTGGATTTCTTAAATACCTTGGTCTAAAATTGTGGAAACTTGTGACCATGGGGACCAGACAAGTTCACCTCAAATGACTTGGATTTGAAACTTGATGTCAAGACTTGGAATGGAACTTCTGAGACTATATTATTTTATTATTTAAATGAACTCGAACACTGGTTCCTGCTGGTTTCTATATTGAAAATGCACCATAATAATAGAGGCTAAATTTACTTAATATATAATACATAATTAAGTAATTATTCCCTGGCAGCAGTGGGTGACGTGACCCAGAGAGAAGCTAAAGTTATCACACTTTTTTTTTTTCCTTTTTCAATTACTAGACAACATCTATTTGATATTTTCTCTGGGTGATGATAAAGTTCCAGAGTCTGAACCCAGGCGCGAGTAAAAGTAAAATGTCAAATACAACGACTTTACCTCTCTGTACACAAGTCAGTGGAGAGAAACAAGGTTGACAGGCCAAGGAGCAGGGAGGAGCAGGGTGCATACAGAATGAGGAGAAAATGAAGGAGCAGAGAAAGGAGGGAACCACATGTGGACCGAAGAGGGCACAAACCTTAATCCACCTTCTGTTGAGGCGACTCCTGCCCTCTGTGACACCGTTTTGATATTGCAATTTCATGGGATGCTGACAGACGGTGTGGAAAAGAAAAATAAATGAGTTGTTGCAGCAGTAAAAATAATAGTAATAAAAAAAAAAACAATAATGAATGCAGGGATGAATTAGATGGACCAGCAACGACAGGGTCCACACACACACACACACACACACACACACACTTTAATGGAAAGAACCAAGCAGTGTGGCGGCAGCATGAGTGTGTTGTAATTGGCTGCTCTCGGCCTCTCTGTGCTCACCCTGGCAGCACCGTCCTCTTTCAGGCTGATGATGTCCAAATCAAAGTCTCTCCTCAGGCCATCTGTCTTATTAAGGACAATGTGTCCTGTCAGTCCGTCCCACTGCGCCTGAGAGGGAGAGAGGGAGAGATGCAGACGGAGAGAGGGAAGTTGGATATCACATGGACTTCCTGTACACTTAAAAAAAAAGTTCAACTCCAGTTCAGTCATTTGTCCTGGCGTGCATCAATAAAAGTTAATGGTATTCATAGCTGCTTCGCCCTGTAGTCAAGGAGTTCCCGACGACTTTCTCTAATGGTACGATTATTTTAATTTAAAAATAAGAAATGTTTTTTTCAGGCCCAACAAATCGACTTTGGTCAGAGTCTGACACCCAGATTATGGGCAACGTCTAATAGTGGCCACCAACTGTTAACCCAGTGTCCAGAAGGGGAGCTATAATTCAACTCTTCGATAAACCAAATTAAACCAAAATAATCTCGCCCTCATAAAGAGTCCAAACAGGGACAACTCTGTTTGTGGCCTATATTATGGACATTAGATGTGGGCCACTCAAGGTCAACTACTTTATTTGATATGAGGGCAAATAAAACAGAATGTTTGGCCTGTTTGGATTCAAACATATTAAAGCGTATTTGATATGAGGGCAAATAAAACAGACTGTTTGGATTCAAACATATTGAGGCAGGTTACTTTTCTTGTTACCGATGAAAACTCAAGGTTAATGACAGACTGTGATTTCATTTGGGTGACATGTCACTCTGCCTCAAGTTGCCTACATCTGCTGCCCAGTCATATAGATCTGGCCCAGGTATCAGCGCCTTAGGGTTTAGATATGGGTTAAAGGAGAGTTAAGGCTTTTTCATTTCTATATTTAAGCCAAACAAATGAAAGTCTAATGTTTACATCTGGGCTGCACCAGTTGTTCAAATGTCTTCTGCATTCAAGAGAACACTCCCGAGGTGGGACAGTATTATAAGAGTACCAAGAAAAACCTGGAATGACACCTGGACCAATCCAGGTCTTTCCTGGTCCAAAGCTAGGGACCAGATTTCAAATCCTTATTATACCTAATTGTATTTGGACTTGAGCTTTGAGACTGTCGTCAATCTGACCCAGATCTGAATAAACAGGAAAAAATCCCAAGATGAGATAAACCAAAGTTCTGCATTCTTTTCATCAGGGGGGAAAATATATATATTTGATGTGGAGAAGACTGTAGGAAAAATAAAATCAAAACAAAGATGTGCAGAAATAACTCCCGTGTGTGTTTTGACACTACACTGAAGTGTGCACTGAATAACAAAGGAATTCAAATCAACCCTGTTTTTTTTTCCCCCATCGCAGACACAGAGAAAACACTGTTGACAACAATAGCCGGCAGAAAGACACGGTGCAGGTGCCAGTAGTTCAAGTTTGAATGAAAGCCGTGCCCTCGTACTCCACACCCTCTTGTCAGAAATGTTTTTTAATGGAGTGTCGTGCGAGATATATCGCAGCTTCCCGCAATCAAAAAGGCTCTTATCTGGTGATGAATGGGAGCGAGCGAGAACACGTGCTTCAAAGGATGTGCAGAGGCAAACAAATCTAAAAGTGAGAAGATGAGAAGGAGGACGGAAGGACAGGATGGCAGACGAGAAGCCGGAGAGGGGAAAATATAGAGGGATTGTATAATAATGTTCCCTCGGCGTGGCAGGCAACGGTCGACTGGATTTAGGACTTAAGAGATCAAAACGCTCGTGCATCAAAAGCCTCATTTCTATCTGTAGGCATCCAGTACGACTGCTACACTCAACCAATGAGAACTTCAACACCAGAGATTTTCATGTTGAGCAACAAACCGAAGAAACTTAAACACCAGAGATTTTCATGTTGAGCAACGAATCGAAGAAACTTAAGGAGTTTTCTTTTTTGGACTAAATCTGTTTACGACTTCTTCAGTTAAAATTTTACTGGAAATTGAAATCATTAAAATAAGATTTTAATGTGATACAAAATGTCATATTAATCATCGAGATTCATATGAGGCAGCATTTCTCTGTGCAGTTAGCACATAAGTGCTACGTACCTCACATTTTTTAATTGGAGACAAAGTACATGTTGCTAACAGGCTGCCAGCTAACTGGGTGTCATTTTTTTTGTGTGTCTGCCTCTGTGCAGATTCAGATCTGCACGAATGGCCAAAAAGAAAAAAAAAATCAAGAGAAATTTCTACGTGCTAGCCTGGCTAAAAAAACTTGCTAACTTGCGAGCATGACACTAAAAGCAAATAAGCTAGCTGGTGGGTTACCAATTACATGCTACATGCTGTCATGGGTGTCTTTAATAATATTTGTGTCTAATATCAACAACTTTCACTATTAATTTTTTATTTTTTGTAGAAAAAACAATTGTCCCAATTTAGAATATCAACAACTTTCACTATTAATTTTCTTTTGTAGAAAAAAAATTGTCCCAATTTACAAAAGTTAAATTATATTAAACAATGAGGTATATTCAAGTGGCAGAGAGTCAAAACACACACACTTAGCCCTTAGGGAACTTGAGCTAAATGTTCAACAATGATCATTATAGGTTAAAACCAAGAAAGAACATTTCCACTTTAAAATATAATTGTTTTTTTCGAGTGTGGTTCAAAACTTTTCCCGTTGTTTTTGGAGTTATATAAAGGGCAGACGACAACAGCAGCTCTGTCTCGCCGGGAAAAGCTGCAGCTGAATTTGGTTTTAAATTGTGTCACAGCCAGTCACTGTAGACTACACAGGCCTGTCTACATTATTTAACACAGATGAATTCACCTGGATGTTTGTTCAGCTGCATCGAAAACAACAAGTGCAGGCGGCACACCGTCTAATCTGTCTGTGAATCCATGAGGCGCCAGACATTTTTATTGGCCTTTAAAGTGTCAGTTTTATATTTGCTATAGAAATATGTAAAAGTCACTCAATTAAACTAAAGATTAAGACGTAGGATTACAGTGTAAATCAGTTTAACTGAAAGTAATTTATTGAAATTGAATTAATATTTATTGAGTATTTCTACGTTCATTTTCTGCAGTTCACAATAATTCAAATCCCGCAGCTAATTTTTATTAGGAAGGTATTATGATGTAATGTTAAATGTAATTAGAATGCACTCTATTTGTTACTTCTTTTGTATTTTTAAGGTGGAGAACATTCTATTTTACAGCTAACCAACAAGTAAACCAATGGTCATTTGGTGGTACTGCAGCGTCCAATAATTGTCGGCTGTGCACAGAGGAGGGGTTGTAGGGTTCATTTCAGTCTGAGCTCAAGTGTTAACACGGATTATAAAAGTCGGAGTTTTCTTACACCCTATAAACCCACTGGGATCTAAGTGTCTTACGACTCCATCAGTGAACGTTCTACTGACCCCTTTGAAGAGGTTGATAAAACGCGGCCCAAAGCGCCAGGGTTTGTGCCGGTGACACTGCAGGGAGCTGACAGTCATCTGTGTGGCCCGCTGGGACGCCACGGCGACCATAAACACGGCGTCATACATCAAGGCTGCGTCTGTCTGAGAAGGTGGCAGTGAGAGAGAGAGAGAGAGAGAGATGTTGTTAGAACATTTATTATTTCACACTTCACTTAGCAAGAACAACGGGGCAACGGAGGACTCGAAAAGATATCAGCTTAAAATATCCGACACATAAGTCACAGTCGGAGTCCTGAAGATTAAAATAACACGTTGTCCAGGAGAACGACATCAAAATGAATGGGACTGCGTTTGACTGATGTATTTGTGTTTCCACGTTTTCATCGCTGCTGAAATATGGCTCCTAGAAAGTCGCAGCCCAGCAGATGGTCCTGGTTTACAGTAGTAAGAGACGCCGTCTGCAGCATACTAATGGACGTCGTTGAAAAGAAACAGAGTAGGAGAATATAACAATGCTACTGGTTTATTTTGTTGTTAAATTTAGCACAAAAAAAAACAAAACCAAACAAAGCACCAGACACCAGGCTACAATTATACAAAACTCGCTGTTATTCACCAAAGTGTCCACCAGGGTCAGAGAGCGACAAGGATTTGTGGGAAAGTAACCATGAAATAAAGGGCTTTCGTCCTTGAAACTCTTATCAGAGGAACTATAAATGACCCTGTATAGTTGTTATTCAGAAGTTGAAGGCCCGGCGTCTGCCGTAAAAAAAACTCCCATGTCTGCTGTAACATTTTGTGAGAAAAGAGCAAATAGCGAGAAGAGCTGTGGAAAATAAATGTCGCATCCTGTAAATAAATTAAAGATTTAAAGCTATTTAAGATATGAATTGCTGCAGTGCGTCTAAAAGTTAGGCCATAATATAAGTACATAAGTACCAATGAGACTAATAAAAAAAATATAAAGTAGCACCAAAAGCTAAATTACTATAAAATTGATAATGAAAAAAAGTAAGCATAAAAACATAAAGCTAAAAGATAGAAAACATTACACTGAGAGGGTGAGTACACCCTAGTATGATGTGCCACAATCACCTTCGTATTAGCATAAATGACTGCTAATGCAAAAAAAGCTAAAGGTTGTTTCCAAAATCACAAAGTAGTAGAAAACAAATTAGTTTAAAACATTTGCTAGAAGAAGAATCACAAAGTAGTAGAAAACAAATTAGCTTAAAACATTAGCACAAAACAAGCCAAACATTTGCTACAAGAAAAAAAATGGCAGAAATAAGGCGCAAATAGTTAAAGGTTAATCCAAACTAGCAGGTTATACTAATTACCACAGATACATGTGGAACTAACCTAAAAGATAAAAACTTAAATTGCTAAAAGTTAGCTGAAATAGCTAGAAAAATATCCTGCCCTGTCGAATGTCACCCACTGTGATTTATAACTTTTTTCCTTTAATATATTGAGTTGAATGTTCAAAGGAGAAGACATCGCTACAGAAGGGATAAAACAGGAAATTGTTCAGTGAAGTTATAAATCAAGTCAGATGTCGTTTCATCTTCTAAGACTTCTATCTCTACGTTCTTCCTGCTCTGCTCTAATATAACTGAACAATTCCATTATATTTCTTTAATGCTACGCTGTGTAGCCTTACAGTCATGATCCCATCGATCAGGTCACTGTCTTGTTTCGGTCCCTGCAGTCTCTCCACCGCCCACTTGTCCATGGTGGACGCCACCCAGGGGTCGTCCACGTTCAGCAGCCTGAACCCCGTCATGTTGACGCCGCTGTAGCGATACGGCTCCAGATCGAGTGCAAACAAGTCCTGCAAGATGAAGAGTTCGGTTCAGGTTCACAACGTGGGTCTCATTGTTTTGGTTGTTGTTTTGTTTTTTTTTACTGATCCCAAATGTGTTTTCAAATTCCTGGCGAAAAGTCAGAACTTTTATTTGTTAAGTACTTAACACCGCGTCTCTTCTCTGCTGTTAAACACAACTCACCAGGGTGGTGAAGAAAAAGTGATAATACTCCGTCATCATCCCCATCGAGGAGAGCTGCGAGAGACGAGGGAGAAAAAGCAATAAAGAAGACGTCGGCTCGTTATGAAGACTTTAAATATTAAACATTTTCCAACAGTATAGAAAGAATCTTAATGGAGTTTTCCTCAGGTTTCCAATACTTTGTACCAAGAACTTTTCCAGGAACTTTTTTTTGTTTGTTTGTTTAAAGTCGAAGGAAACGCAACTTACTTCACTATGGTTTCATAACAGCCCAATAACTATAGCAATTTGGTGGCCCACATCTGGCAACTAATGGGTGTCAGTTGCCGACATGTGGTCCACATTCTGGACTCACAAATGTCAGATTATAATAAATTGGATTAGATTACACAGAATATACTTTGTACCAAGAACTTTTCCAGGATTTTTGTTTTTAAGTTCCTTCTTAGCAAAACCATATGGTCAAGTCAAAGGAAACGCAACTTATTTCACTATGGTTTCATAACAGCCCAATAACTATAGAAATTTGGTGGCCCATATAACCAATGGGTGAGAGCTGACGACATGTTGCCCACATTCTGAACTGAGTGTATAAAAATGTCAGATTATAATAAATTGGATTAGATTACACAGAATTTTGTTAATCCCTGGGGATATTCTGAGATTTGGTCCACTTTTAGTCGACTAAAGACCCATAGATTTATTTTCCCTGTTGAACCACAGTCGGCCACATGACACATCTGGCACCCACATGTGGACCACATACAATGGAAATTCATGGCCCACATTGCCTCACTGATATGGCCCATAACAGACCATGACCATGAGGAAACCCATTTGCTGAAGTTAGACAGTGATGAGTCCCACATCCTGGATACCTGTGTATAAAACCTGAATGTGTTGCACTAAAGTCTTGGCATTCAATATAAGAGTGGAACTAGTAATGATTTTCCAGTTTCATTTCGAACAACATTTATCACTTGGCCAGCCTACAGCTATAAATTACAGACCATTAGTGGCCCACATTTATGAGAGTATGGGTCAGGATGTCAAATCAGACACAAACATCAACGAAAATCTCTGGAAAGTCTTCTGATCAGATGATAAGAATAATCTGAATTTTTATTCCCTAACGCTGAGTCCCTGCAGTACGTAACCCAGCAGCCGTGGGACTCACTTTCATCTGTTGACAACTGGGAGAGTGAGCGTTGCTACTCTATCCTGGAGAAGCAATTTAACAACTTTTCTTCATCATATCTTTTAACGACTGCCACCTAAATCTCTAGCGAGGCCTCAGTAAACAAGGTAATAGCTTTCATAAGATTTACTGTACGGCATAAAAAGACATTAGTGTTAAAAGGAATCGTTAAACGCGCTGTCCCCAAATGACACGTAAACGTGTCATAAATGTCCTCAGTGAGAGTCGATCTGTGGACGCACCGGGCCAGGAACCACGGCTTGGTTACAAAAATGTATTATTTAGGTCTAATTCTGAGGTATATTTTTGGCTTCTTCCTACTGTGGTACTTTAATAAGATAAAAGCTCATTTGACCTTAAATATCTTTTGGGGTTTTTTTCCTGTCACAGGGTATTGGGGTTTTTTTGTGTTAAATATTGACTTAATCTTTTCTGATTTTCAATCACCTATTTCTGAACTAAAAATTTTATTTAGCTTTGTGGCTAAATTCTCGCTTCAGCTAACTTCAGTAGCTATCCTTAGCCATTTTCAACCACCATACACGTTATGTTTGGACTAATTTTTAGTTAACGGTTACATAGCAACATATTTTCTGGCTAACATTTATTATAATTGTATTTATAAGAGTATTGGTAATTATTTAACCAATCTAGTTTTAGATTACTTTTTGATTGCTTCTGGTTTATAATAGTCAAAAGTATATTTTATTTCAGTCAATTTTTTCTTTACCCTTTTTTTTTACTGATTTTTTTAACTATTTTTTGATTAAATCTGCTTGTATCTTTTTCTACTCTTCAACTACCTTTGGTTACAGTTTAGTTCTTCTCTTAACATCTTATTCTTATTTGAAGTAATAAAAATACTTTCTCATCGACCGCACATCTCACCCATCTCACCTTGGTGAACACACATTTCTACACAAGGTTTTTTTTTTTTTTCTAGCAGTCCTTAAAAGACCTTTTGCAACTTTCAATTTTAAAAAGAGAAGTTCTTCCCTGGCTGCGGCTCCTCTCTGACCTTGGTTCACACACCTGCTTCAGCAGCTCCGCAGCCACACGATAGGAGCAGTCGAAGATGATGAAGAACTCCTTGTCTTTCTTCAGCTCTTTGAGGAGCGGTCGGGCGTCAGGGTTCCCGGGCGTGAGCTGACGGATCTTGATCCTCAAGTTAAGCTTTGCAGGAGCTTTGATTAACTCCTGCATTCTCATCAGACCTGCAGAGAAGTAGGGCAGATATTTCCTTATTTAAACAGTGTATGTGAGGCAGAGAGTTTTTGTCTCCTACAGAAAGGTTGTAGGTGCAATACCTGAAGGTCGGAGGCAAAACATGTCAGAGCAGGGACTTGACTCATTCATTTTTAACATTTTTATTTCTTTAGACTTTTGACTTTTTACAGATCCTCTTTACTAGCTTTAGCTATAGCTATGTCTGAACTAGCATTTAGCATATTGTATCATTTTGACCTCTTTAAGTTAGTTCTACTTTTCTTTTTAAAGTTTGGTATTTTCAGTATTTGTAGCCAACACTTGTAGCCAACACAACGTTTACAAACTAACTTTCAGAAATCTTACATTATTTAGCATTTTCCAAACCGGCTAACTATCAAGCTACGACACAAAAGAATTTTCATGAATTATTTTTACTCTGTTAATTTTAAGTAAAGTTTTAGCTGTGGTATTACATTTGTTGGAGCTATCTTCCTGTTATAATGGATTCTAATAAACGTTTGACAAGCATTTCTTGCTAGTTCAGAAAAAAAATGTAGGCAAATGAATGCAATTGGAATAAAAAAAAAAATCTCCAAATTGCAGTTAATTTCGGAGCCTGCTGTAGGAGCCCAGCTTCAGCTCAAGGACATTTGTGCTAATGATTTCCAGTTAAGTTTTGCTGCTCAATCATTTCTTTTTAAGCATCTTCTTTTTAGCCACAGTGAAAAACAAACCATGAACTGTGGACACGTGTGTACTTCACAGTGTGAACGTGGGTTTGTGTGACATTTATTAATAAAAAAAAACTAAAGAAAGAAAGATGAAAACCATGGCATTCTAAAATCCAGTCGTGGACTGGACTTCACACGGACTGTGGTTCTGTCCAGTGCAGTTTGAAGCCTGGGACGGAGAACACAGGCAGCTGTTTGTTAGGACGGACCTGGTGGCCTGCAGCAGATTGAGTTCAGAGGGCAGTGAGAGGAAAATGACTGTGACAGATGGAAGAAATTGCATTTTGGTCATAATAATAAACTCTGCATATGAATGTAGAACAAGGTCCGGGGGAAAACACGTGGCAGAATTTTGACCTTGTTTTTCTACTTCAAATGCCGAGCTGAGTTTCTGCTGTCATCCAATTATGCAGTGTCAAATAATGTCATTTCCTCGGAATAATATTTTTAAAGTGGGAATTCAAAGTCAGCTGTGAAGCTGATGACAACATCATCAAGGAGCATGTCAGGGGTGGAGGACACTGGACCTTCAGAGTATCAACGAAATGAAGGATCAAATATGAAAAAAATATTAAATATTTTTAATAATTATATATTAGTAAAATCCTGTTGATGACAAGTCTTACAGAAGGGGGCGCTGTTTAAGTACTTTTGCGTTATTTATCTCCTAGCTGACTTTTTCTTTTACATTTTAGCCAATGCTATAACCAGATACTGGTTTCCAGTGTTGACGCTGTAGGAACTGTTTTTTTTTTGTTTTTTTTCGTACCCGTGCTGTCTTCATACACCACGGTCAGCTTCTTCCATTTGAAGAAGGTGACGACGTCCAGAATGGCCCTGGCGATGGCGGTGTACTCCGGGTAGAGGTTGATGAAGAACGTGTCCTTGTTGTCCACTGACGGGTGTTTCCAGCTGGTCTGGATGTGAGGGACCTCCAGGGCGTTGCAGATGGACTGAACGGCGCTGACCGACGAGCTGTGTGAGGGACCGAAGACGGCGACCACCCCGAGAGCCAGCTGGTCGCACACTGGTGGAGAGAATGTGACACAGAAAAATAAAGGGAAACACACTCATGGGTTCTCACGAAATATGAAGTCCAAGTGTGAGTCTGACCTCTGCGTGACGCCTCGAACCCATCAAACAGGTTGATCCTCTGGATGTCATAGGTCAGGGTTGTGTTGGGAATCAACGTCTTGTTGCGGTTAATGTTATTCACGGCAAACTTGAACGCCAGCTCGTCCATACTGACCAGCTCGCTCTCCCTGGTCTCAAAGATACCACCTGTGCACAGGAACACAAAGGAACCGCTGCAATCAGACGCTTAATGACAACTGTGGCACCGCTAAAACACTTCAGCTGTGCAGCAGCTGAGGGATAACACAGAAAAAAATGACGACTAAATACATGCTCTTGCGAGAGTGGAACACATTCAGACGGACAAGAAAAAGCAAAAACATTCACCCAAGAAGATTTTTGAACAGAAGTTATTGAAGGCTACAGGTGTCGTTTCCATGTTAGTTTTAACAGCGTGCTGGTAGCATGTAGCATTAATTTTTTTTTTTGCTAGATTTCATTGTGACCTTTAGGCTATCAAGTCCAACTGCCTCACAACTAGCATTTAGCTATTCTGTGCCATTGAGCTGGGGGGCACTGTTGCACCTGTCACCTCACAGGAGGGCCAATCATAAAGTTTTAGATTACTTTTAGTGTCACCTCACAGGAGGGCCAATCATAACAAAGTTTTAGATTACATTATTATAGTTATGTGGACCGGACATGGTTTTTTTATGGGCTGAAAGTGGGCCGCGGGCCAGGAGTTTGCTGCTCCTGCTTCACTGTAGGTATTTCTTCAGCAACTTCAGCATCATGTTAGGATGTACAGTAGATACTGGTAACATTTTTAGACAAATGTAGACAAACAACAGCCATAATTTAGCTGATTGTTTTACCATCGTTTTCAGTCGTCTATGTCGTATTTTTCGTGACAACATTTCAACTATTTAACCTTCTACAACACGTCATAAAGCCAGCTAATTTGCGACTAGACAGTTATTAAAAGTCAATTTTGCTTCTTGACGGAAGGCATTAATCTAATCTAATCAGAGTTAGCAACACTTGTTTTCCTGTCCGACAGATTATTTTAAAATAAAACACTCCATATTGCAAAAGACTAGCCGTTAATTTTTTTTTTAACCGTCTCCATCAATAAAGTGGCACGATGTCAAAAGCATTGTTTTGGTTTTACATATTCCCCGACCACTGGTGATGCACACACCCTTCCTCCTCCGTGTGCTTCCACATCATCTCCCAGTAATTGCTTGTGCACTTAACAAACACTGAAACAGTCTAACAGGAGCTGTAACAGCTGAGTCAAAATAAATCAAGTTTAACCTTCAAGTGTGTTTACCTGCAGCGAGATGATGCACGTTCCACAGGAGCAAAGAGGAAAACATGTCTGAGAGCAGCTGGATGAATGATGTCAGCAGGGAAAATAGTTTGATTTATTACGTCTCCCACTTCAATCAATAAATGTTTCTGAACAAGAGAGCGACCGCACTGATCACTGCCCAGAGCTTATGTACTCCGCACACAACAACAACAACAACAAAAAAATCATGAGTTTAGTGTTATTTGATCAAGCAGCTCTGTAACGTTTTAGAGTTTTGGCCGTGGAAGGACTTCAGCTGCAGGAAATTCTTTGACAAAGAAACATTTGAACAGAATCATTTAATGAGCTGTTAATGGTTTCAGAGTCGTTGTGTAATGTTTTATCAATAAAAGCCATTAGTCAGAACAATTAAAAGTTGCTTAATGATTTCTAAAAAAAAAAAGAAAAAGAAAAGAAAAGTTAATGGTGTGGCATATCCTTTAAATTCAGTTTGCATTTACCTTCATTAAACCTCCAACAAAGTTAAAATGTTTATAGAATTGAACAGAGGAAATTGAATCTAATCTAAGGTTGACAGTTCGAGCTAAAGTTAGCTGAAAGATGACATCAAGTGTAGCCAGAAATAAGGTGGTCAAAAAACATTAAAATCAAAATATCATAAAATATATTTAAAAAATAGCCAAGTACTAAATAGATAAATACAAATAATATTAGCTTAAAATACATGTAAGTTCCTTGAAGAAGATTATAATAATTAAGTATCAAGTTTAAATCACTAAAAATATAAGCAAAATGTAAAAGAAAATAATGCTAGAATATGAAAAGATATCCGTTGCCTGAATGATTGAAAAGTGTGAATAATGAAAAATAAAAACCTATAAAAACTGTGTTTAAATGGTTGAAAGGACAAAACTAAACTGCAGACAGGTAAACAAATCACTCCAACACGAAAGAGCCGAATTACGGCTACAAGGTTATTTTAAAAATGTTCTCAGAATTTACCCAGAATGCATTGGTAACATTTTGAAACCGTTGTAAACACTTGAATTTCTCCGCACAGAAGAAATCCTCGGTGTATGAATTTCTCCGCACAGAAGAAATCCTCCACAGAGAGTGTGGTTTTGATGGCAGCCTGAGGAGCCGCTCATCCACTGAACGCAGACATTCATCTCCAGTTAACCAGACAAGGTCAACAACACTCACACACAGCCGTTACACAAACACACCATCTGCACACTCAACAAAATTATCCCAAATTTTCTCTGCAGCCAAACATAACGAGGGCCATTCCACAGAATTCCTTTAATGCCAGCCAAATTCCCCAGTCATAAACACCGCCATAAATATATTACACCCACAATAAAATATTATCTAAAGGAGTAATTGTAGTTTCTGCGCCCGCAGCTTTAATATCCGGCGAGCGGCGAATTAATTTGGAATTCCCACAGAAGCATGGGAATGAAGATTAATATTTAGTGCCGGCAGATGAATGATTTCCCTCCAAGGCGTGGAGTGAAAATGGAGACAAAGTTAAATAATGCTACTTTTCCTTTTTACATGACAAGAAAACCTTAGGCTACACTTAGATTTCAGAAGAAAAGGAGGCTCGGAAACTAGAGCGGAGCGTCGTCGGCATCCTGTCATCCACAGAAGATGGAGAGGAAAAAAAAAAAGGGAAAATAATTGCTCTGTGCAGGGAAGGAACTGAGGTACGAAGAGGGGGGGGGGTTCAGATCTTCCTGTTGACAGTTCTTCAAAAGTAACAACACATCAACTAAACATTACAGACGCATTTTAAAAAACAATTTTCTTAGCCAGCAAAGAAACTGTACTATGTGTGTTCGTGTCTATATATACATATATATTCATATATGTATACATATATATTAATACACATGTATATATGTATACATATGTATTGATATACATGCATATATGTGTGTATATATATATATGCATATAGGTATACATATATTCATATACATGCATATAGGTATACATATATATTCATATATGTATATAGGTATACATATATATGCATATACGTATACATATATACATAAATATGAATATATGTACAGTGCAGTATATATGTATGTGTATATATATACACATATAACCACATATATTTGCATATATGTGTGCATACTGTATATGCATATACATAGAAATGTATAGAAAGAATATTTTTTTACATCACACATAAATCAGGTCAACTGTTACTGATCGTCAGTCCCCGACACAAACAGGAAGTGATGAAGTCATGCCTTTAATTATCCATATGAACAACAGGGGGAACGTGAAATCAACCTGACTGACTGTTGTGTCCGTGCAACAAGACATTACTTTATGAGAGGCAGAGGGAGAGGAGTCATTATCACCGCTGGTACCAGCTGCTGGTGCAGCACCGTGACATGTGTCATGTCAGGATCAGTCCAAGCCAGGTTGCATTAACACCTGTGGACGTTTGCTGCTCAAGGTAAATGATGATTCAATGTCTGTGTGAGTGGGACGGTCATCAGGTGTCATTAGAGTTTGATTCACGTCACTCCCACAGAGTGGCTGTCAGAGCCTGTTTATCGATGCCTCACGGGGATTAATAATGGGGTTTTTTTACCAACACATTCTTTGTTTTGGGCTCTAAACAGACATTC